TAACTGTCAGGTCTATCTTAGAGGCCTGCTGTGTGGTAGGCCCTTTTGGAGTCGGGGGAGTATTCTAAGGAGGAAACAGAAGGAATATCTGACCTCTTATTAAAAACATGGTAGAAACTCTTGAGTGGTTAAGTCAGTTACGACGAGAGATTTAAGTCATTGTTCTCTATCAGAGAGCTGTGTGGGAAGCTTGAGAATGTTCAGGTTCTGCAGGGGAGGCTGAGGCAAAGAATCTCTCAGCAGCTGGGCAGCTTGCCGTGGAAATAAAGGCAAGGGCCTGGTTTTCCCAAAGCCTTGGACTGAAGTGGCAGATGCTGGGGGAGGCAGCCGCAGTAGCATCCGCAGCTCAATTCAAGGCTTAGCTGGCTATCCTGTGGGCACCTGGGGCCAAAACAGGTGGGATGGCCCAGGAGGCAGGCAGGACGCCTGGTCTCCAGCCCTGCACTGCTCCTCCTACTGTACCTCTGAAGTCCTTTTCTCATATCCTCAGTGTCCCCATCTGAAAAAAGTACAGAGGACTCCTCCTCTCTGAGCTTTGCTCCAGTGCCTTAGGCCTTCGGCAAACTGAGGCGGAAATTCTGACTGCAGTCTCCTTCCCTGCTTGAGCCTCAACTTCCTTGTCTGTAAAACTTAAAAGTCCTTCTACAAGAAAGGTCTTTGAAGAGCAAATAGAAAACTGTTTGCAGATACCTCAGCACAGAGCGAGTACTGATAATTTTCAATTGGGAGGAAGCAAAGGAACATCTCCTAAATCTGTGGCATCACTGGCACCAGGTCGAGTCTGTCCGTGTACGTGCCAAAGCTGACAAGGTGATCTGCATTGTACATCAACCTTTAGGCACAGCGGTTCTGGTCTCGGTCCCTGGAACAGAGACAAGGAGTGTTTCAGCTGGGCAAGGAGGGCGCCTTCCTCCTGGAGCCTCTGTATCGGAGCCGAGTCTAATCACCTGTAGCTGTAATAACCAAGAGGAAGCTCTTAAAATGGGGAATTATGTATCACTGTTGCTACAAAATAGCCCTGGGCCCGGAGCCAAGGAAAACAGCTCTCAGGAGAGGCCAGCAAGGGAGCAGGCTGCTGGGACACCTGTGGAGGGAGCTTGTTCCTAAGCGCTGACTAAACCACGAGCAGGCTGTTGCGGGTGACGGGTGAGAATTAGTGGGCCTCATCAAGTGTCGTCTTGCGATCAGGATGGGCTGGCAGAGGGACAGCAGAAGCAGAGCCAAGAATTTGGGGACGTTATAGTCGCCGTTACTACCAGCTTCATAATCTTGGGAGTGTCCCTTGGCCTCTTTGGGCCTTGCTGATTTCACCCTGAGTAGGACTAAGGCCTTGTATATACCCCAAGGTCAGATTGGACTTGATAATAATTATAGCAGTAATAACAACAGTAATATTAGCAGCTACTTTTTAAGGAGTACTTGCCACATGCCAAATACTGTTCTAAGCACTTTCCATGCACCTCTTTCATTCAGTCCTCACAACATCCCTATGAGGTGGGCACAGTTATCCCCACTGTACGGATGAGGAAACTGAGGACCAGAGAGGTTGAGTAACTTGCTTGAGGTCACCCAGTCAAGAAGTGGCTGTCAGCTTCTAGGCCAGGGCTCATGCTTTGCTTCCTGCAGGGGCCAGGCTGCCACCAGAGGGCCCGGAGCAGCCATGCTAGGAGCCTGAGCCTGAGCCTGAGCCTGAGCCTGAGCCTGAGCCTGAGGGACGGACAAACTAAAGCAGTTCTATGGGGCCAGTGTCCCAAGGAGAAGGGGCCTGTGCCGGGGGCCCTAGTAGGCCATGGAGAGAAGCTGGCGTTTTCTTCTAGGAGTGATAGAGGACTGGGTAGGAGAGCGTTATGATCTGAGTATATTTTATAAGTTGCCTCTAGCTGCTGTGTTGAAAATAGATGGGGGTATGTGTGGGCAGAGTAGCAGCAGGCAGGCCTGTGAGGAGGCTGCCTCTGATGCTAGTGCAAGGGCTGTTGGGGCCCGGAGCACGGTTGTTACCATGGCGATGGAGAGACGTAAGTGGATGCCAGGAATGTATGGGAGGCATAATCCACCGTCTTGCTGCTGTAGGCTTCTACAGACAGGGCTGGTCAGATACTCCAGAGGGCCTTGGAATGAGCCCCTTGAGAAAGAGTCAGGGTGGCTGCATCTGGATGTGACCTCATGCAGGCATGAGTGAGCATTGGATTGGGCTATGGAGGATGGCTTGGCCTGAAGGAGCCAGAGGCAGCATTGTTGGCTACGTGTTCTTGAAGGGCAGGTGGGCTTCTGATTGCAGTAGCTGCAGGTATGGGACAGATGATGGTGATGGAGGAATGCATCTCTGGATATACCCTGGGAATGAGGAGCTGGGAGACCTCCACCACACCAGGCACATGACAGGCCCCGGTTCTGCCCCATTCAGGCCCTGCCTCCATCCTGGCTTGGCCACGGGGATCGGAAAGATGGAGTCTTGCATGCGGAGAGGGGGCTTCATCTTGTAGGAAACCAGAGCTTGGAACATAGGAGGTCTCAGGGAACACTTCCCCTGTGTTTCTAGAGGGTTCTCTGAGCACCAGTGTGGCAAGTAGGTCTGAGGGCCCAGAGGGCAGAGCCAGGACTCTCAGGGTAGTCATGGAGAAGCAGACCCCAGGTCCTAGTGGGGAGGAACTTTGGCCAGTCCCAGCTGCCTATGTGAGCAGAAGCTGGCCACCCCGCCTCCGTCTGGCTGACCTTGTGAAGTGCCTTCCAGCCCTGAGATCCAAGGAGAGCCCGAAAGGGCGGAACCAACCCTTCTGGGTGAGGAGGCTCAGGGGTCATTCCTTGAAAAACATCTTCACTAGGAGGGAATTGAGTCCCACATCCTCCAATTATGCTCCCATCCAGCCAGCCCACAATGGGCTGCTCAGATAACCATCGGGGGCTGCACAAATTAACGCTGGAACAATGCTGGCTGCTCGGGCTATTTTTACAGTAGCCATACGCCCGGCTGAACCCCCACGTCGCCCCGAGGGAGCAGGGCAAAGAAAGGCCATGCGGATGCCGCCACCAGTCTGTGCTCCAGGAGACAGAGGAAGGGCTCAGTGAGCCGCCCACCGGCTCCAGGAAGCCTTTTCTTGGTCTGCTCACCACCAGATAGGAAAACAATTGGGGTCCCCCACCCCAAGCCGGGGAGAGGAAAGAGGCGTGGGGGAAACAGGGGTTCTGTTGTGCTTTTGTGCCTCTGCTCTTCAGAGCACAGCCCCTGTGGGCCCAGCTGCTGGGGCCAGACCAACACGTCCCCTCTCCACACCCCAGGTCTTCAGGCCGCCCCCACCTTGCTCTGCCTTATACCGCTTTCTGGGCCCGGTGGCACGGAAAGCAGGGCTCTGAGGTAGAGTGGCTCGTCGAGTCCCGTGATTGGGAAGTGGCCGAGCCGGAGTTTAGCGCGAGCTGCTTGCAGATCCCACTCTGGGAACTATCTACCCAACAGTTCTTGCCTGATGACCTACAGTGCACCAGGCTCTGGGCACACAGCGGTGAACGAGATAGGTCCGTGTCCCCATGGAGGTGCTATTCTAGCAGAGGAGGAGAGCATCGACAAGGAGGCAAGGGCGTGGGTAAGACATTTTCATGCAGTGCCAAGAACTTGGACAAAACAGACTCAGAAGCCCACTAGAGATGTCCAGTGGTGAGCTGGCCCATTGACAGGGCCGCTTCTGGTCCAGCCGATGGTCGCTGAAAGGAATGTGAGCCAAAAATAACCGACCTTCCAGTTTTTCAAGAGCACCTAGAAATCTTGACTTTCTCTGAAATCTGATATTTCAGTGTTGGCCACAAATTTGGATCATGAAGACAAACAAGTTGTGTCCCAGGCTGCTTGCTTATGAGTTGGTCACCTTTGCCGTCATCTCTTTTATCCTGCAGATGGAGAAACAGAGGGGCGGGGAGGCCTGCTAGCTCTGGTCCCCCAGCTCATCTGTGTTCCGTTATGTGAGGGTAAACCCTTGAAAGGCATATTCTCCTTCTTGGCTGGGACTCATGATGCCCTTGCCCTCAAGGCCAAACTACTAGGGAGAATGAGGACTTAGGGACCCAAGGAGGTACAGAAAGAAGGGGCTACACCCTGGCTGGTGGCAAATGTCCTCCAGAATGGGGTCCAAGGAGGGGTGGGCTAAGAGTAACCATGAACAGCTCCTGGGCGCTTAGGAATTTCACCACCTTGGGGCCTCCCATTGCCAAACCCAACAGGAAGTCAGAGGACAAGAGATCCTGGATAATACAGGGGTCAGAGCAAGCCAGAGAATGGATAGAGATGGGTGGACAAACAGATTAACTGGCTTTCTTACATAATCCTTGCCAGTGCAAGTTATTTTTTGTGCTATAGAGATATGACTACTTAATGAATTGCAAGTATAATTCACAAACATCCATTTTCTATACTTTGATGGAAACGCCATTATCAAATATTGTTTCCATTTCAGCTGAAACCCCATTCCTCGTTTGTTTCATGTTTATCCATTCTTTACACAGGAACAGGCACTTCCTGTGCGCCAGGCACTGAGCTGAAGCTCAAGTGGAATGGGAGCTATCATTTTCTATGCAAATCTGAAATTTGGAAATAGTATCTGTTCGTTTCTAGAAAATTCAGGCAGGTGTTATTTGGAAGGTGCCTTAGAACTGCCTGGAGTGTGTCATATTTTGTGGAGACGATGCCAGGGCCGGCTTCATGCCTGGCAGGTGTCAGATGAGACATGACATTTGAGGACGACAAACATGGGGCCCCAGTGCTTCTGTTCAGCAGTTGCCTGAGGAATGGGACCCGTCAATTTCTGAATCATTAGGTCCCTCATCACCTAGATAGAGGTCTGAATCACTCAGGATGTTGTCAGATCAGTGGACAGATGAGAGGATGGCAAGTCCTCTGCCAAAGGCCTGGGTGAGTCAGAGCCAGACTGTAGGTGAGAAGGAAGAAGTTGCGTTGAAGTCTCAGAGGCTGTCCCTGACTAACCGTGCATTGGGTTCTGTTTTGTCCCCCGTAGAAAACGAGGAAGAGATGGCCACCAAGGAGAAGCTGCAGTGTCTAAAAGACTTCCACAAGGACATCCTGAAGCCATCTCCGGGAAAGAGCCCGGGCACAAGGCCTGAGGATGAGGCTGAGGGGAAGCCCCCGCAGAGGGAGAAGTGGTCCAGCAAGATCGACTTTTTGCTCTCCGTGGCTGGCGGTTTTGTTGGCTTGGGCAACGTCTGGCGTTTTCCGTACCTCTGCTACAAAAATGGTGGAGGTGAGTCTAGGCTGGGCAGAATGAGGCATTGGAGAAGGGTAGGGCCAGAGTGTGGGGTGGCCTCTCGTCTCCTGCTTTCCCTAGTCCTCACCTTGACCTCCCTCCGTCAGCCTGCTGCATCCCCACCCTAGCCCCTCCCCACCCTCCCACCTCAGAGGCAGGAGAGGAGCATAACCGGGAATCAGGTGGTGTTCTCTCTTACTGTGTTACCTTGAGCCAGATCCCTTACCTTCTCTTTATCCTTCAGTTTGCCATCTCTGAAGAGGGGCGACGAGGCCAGGCCCATGCTTCCCAAACCTCAGACACCCACAGGCTCCCTTCATGAATTCCCTCGTGTCTACATGCCTCTTGACTCCACCTTACTTTGTCTTTCCTAACATTTGCTTCGGCTTGCCTAACTTAAAGCAAGTGTAGTTAAAAAACAAGCTTTGTTTCCCCCACAAATGGGAAACCAGTATCATTTGCCACAATGAAAAGGTATTCAGGAAAAAAATACGGTGAAGAGATTTTTTATTTTTCTTTTTTATTTAAGAAGTTTTTTCAGTTTTATTCATATAATTGATGTATCACCTCGTATTAGTTTCAGGTGTACAGCATAATGATTTGACGTATGTATATATTGCTAAAAGATCACCACGATTTAAGTTTAGTTAACATATATCACCTCGCAGGTAACACATTTTTTTTTTCTTGTCATGAAAACTTTAAAAATTCCTTTCTTAGCAACTTTCAAACATAATAGTATTATGAACTGTAGTCGCCATGCTGTATACTTCACCCCCAGAATTTATTTATCTAATAACTGGAAGTTTGTACTTTTGACCACTTTCACCCATTGAAGATATTTTTTAAATGTAAGGTTTCTATTTGTCTGGTTGGTTCATTTGTTGGTTGGTTCGGGTTTTGGGGTTTGGGTTTTTTTTAAGTGCTGAAGGCTCTGAGCTAGAATCCTCTGCTATGGGAGGTGTTCGGGTCGGGCAGCACGTGCTAGGGACTTCCTTGCTGTGCTGTAAGAGGGGCTGGAGGAGAACTGGGTAGGGAGATCTGCCCATAACTGAGGGCTTATCTGTCAGCAGAAAAGGGCATACTGCATATCACCAACGTTAGGAGAAACACCTTTCAGGAAATTCTGCCTTAGAGCCTGTTTTCTTAACCTTTTGAGGTCTCAGGCACCTTCAAGATGCCGATGAGTGTCCTAGACATTCCGCAGAGCAAAACACGTACACATAGACCCAAGCTGTCCACAGTTTCAAGGGGTTTATGGGCCCACTAAAGCCATTAGGAACCAGGTAGGAACCCTTGGCCAGATACTTTGTTCCTCACTCCTCCCCTGGCAGCCACCCCCAGCTAGAGATGCCCCTCTTTTGCATCTCATCACTGCACCCTTCCTAGCTAGTTCTTCTCAGCTTCCCGCCCCAAGCAGGCCTGGGGACAGGTAGGTGAAGGCTTCAACGAGGTCAGTCTTAAGTGTTAAGCAGTCCTTGTTCAGGTGGACGGTGTGGGGCAGGCAGGCCGGCTGTCGGCACAGCTTAACCAAAGGCTCAGAGGCCGAAAGCCTCTGGTAGATTTGAAGGTGACCAGGCACACTGCAAAGGCGATGCCAGCTGGGCAGGTGGTTAGGGCCTAGAAAATTTTCAACCAGGTCCAAGAATTTGGCCTTTACCCATCTTGTCCCTCACTCATTTTCTTTGATTCCATTGGCTGGGAGGGCTTGGGAATAAGCAGCACCTGCAGCCTCCACTCCTGTGACAGCCACAGCCTGACCCTCACCCCACTCTGCTCTCTTCACAGGTGCATTTCTCATACCATATTTTATTTTCCTATTTGGAGGTGGCCTGCCTGTGTTTTTCCTAGAGGTAATCATAGGCCAGTACACCTCTGAAGGGGGCATCACCTGCTGGGAAAAGATCTGCCCCTTGTTTTCTGGTAAGTATGGGACAAAGATCACCCAGGGTCTGGTGTTCATTGGTTCAGCAAATTTTTACTGAGCACCTGCCAGTTACATTGACACCTCATGCAAGTTACTTGGCACTCTCTCTGCCTGACAGAACATAGCAGCCAGCAAATGATACATGTGATGCTGCTGCTCATAGTAACTGTTCAATACATACTAGCTGTTCCCATCTCTCTGGGTAGTTGAAGGATAGAGAAGCTAGCATCTGCTTCACAGTATAGTGCAGAAGATAAGCACTCAAATTTAAGAGACTTTCTTTCTGGACTTGAATCCCCATTCCTCTTCTTGCTAACTCTTGTGACATTGGGAAAGTCATTTAATCTCTTTGCGCCTGTATTTCCTCATCTATAAAATGGAAACAATATGCTTACTTCACAGAGTTACTATGAAGACAAAATGACGTAGTCATGTCAAAGTGTATACATAGGTAGCCCAAAATTAAAAGTAGCTTTCTTTATTATTATTATAACGTTTAGTTCTATGTCTAGTACCTAGTATGTGTTCATAAGATAATACTGTTATGATTATAATTGGCAAGGAAGGGAGGATGTGTGTCTATTTATTCAGTCATCCATATTTATCTATCCATCCATCCAATCTTTCTTTATTATTTAGGCTATCCATCCATTCATCTATCCGTCCATCCATCATCCATCTATCTACCCATCAACTCATTCATCCATCCATTAATCTTCCAACCAATCACCAGCCATTCATCCATCCAACAAATCAAATGTCCATTCATCAATCCAACATCAATCCTACCCATTCAGCTATCTATCGGTCCATCTAACCATTCATTTCACCATTTATCCATCTACTCATCCATTCATTGATCTGTCCCTCTCCATGCATATTTTTATCCATCCAACCATCCCATCTATCTAACGATCCATTCTTTCACCTATCCATGCATCCATCCATCCATCCATCCATCCATCCATCCATCCATCCATCCAGTCATCCATTCATCCTACAAATATTCGTTGGTCACTGTTAAAGGGCCTCCTCTGGCCTTAGGCCATGGGATGCCATTTTTTTCCGTTTGAGTATGTGGACATGGTGGGTCTGGCCTCCCTCCTGATGCTTATCTCGCTTGCCCACACCCGCAGGCATTGGCTATGCCTCCATCGTGATCGTGTCCCTCCTGAATATATACTACATCATCATCTTGGCCTGGGCCACATACTACCTGTTCCAGTCTTTCCAGTCGGAGCTGCCCTGGGCGCACTGCAACCACACCTGGAACACACCCTATTGCTTGGAGGACACTATGCGCAAGAATAAGAGCCTGTGGTTAACCCTCAACACCAGCAACTTTACCTCCCCTGTCATCGAGTTCTGGGAGTAAGGCTGGCCTCACTAACGAAGTAGGGAGGGTGTGGGTGGGGGCAGAGAGGACAACCCACTTCCTCATCTCCGACAGGGGACAGGGATGTCGGAGTCACTATCCTGGGGTAGGGTAAGGGTGGGGGGAAGGTAGGAGCAGATTTGGAGTTAAATCTATGCCATCTATGCCTTTGGTCTCAGACAGGCCTGGAATCGAATCCCAGTACTGCCATTTTATTGGCTATTTAACCTTCGGCAAGTCTCTGCCCCGTTCTGAGCCTCAGTTTCTTTAACTGTCAGAGGGGAATGAATCACTCCTATACCCATGGGATCTCTATGAGAATTATTTCCCAAAGGCAAGTATATGTACTTATATTGTCTGAAAATGATATAGTTTCTTAATGTATTGTAGAACAAATATAGTTAGCACGTCAAACCTGTTATTGCACAGAGAAAAATGCATATATGAAGCTGAAGTAGTTACTCAACTGAAAAGGTGAGTAGATAGAGTGAAAATGTGTCAGTTAGCTTTTGCTATGTAACAACCATCCCCAAACTCAGTGGCTTTAAGCAATAACCATTTCTTTAGCTCAAGGTTCTGCTAATTGGCAGTTTGGGCTGAGCTTGGCTGGGCAGTTCTTCTGGTCTTCGCTGAGCTCCCTCATAAAAAGGTCAGCTGTAGGGCATCAAGGCAGCTCTTCTAACGATTGGCTGGCTACTGGATGAGTTGCCAGGCTCCATATGGTCTCATCACCCAGCAAGCTAGCCTAGGCTTATTTACAGATAGCTTGACATTTCAAAACAACAAAGGGGAAAGTCCCACTGCAGGAGCACTTTCAAGCCTCTATTTGCATCATTTTTGTTAATGTCCCATTGGCCAAAGAAAGCCACAAGACTAACCCAGACTGAGGAGGTGGGAAAAGAGGTTCTGTCTCTTTATGAGAGGAGTGGAGAATTATGGGCATTTTTACAGTTTGCCACAATATAGTCAATAACTACAGGAGTCTACACATAGAACAAACAAGAAATGTGGAGGGGCTTGAAGTTTGGGTACTTCTTAGCTGATATATGGGGACATCCTTCTAATATGATGCTTGGAGGTCAATCAAAAATATATTAATGCGTTGTTTTCCTTGTTCTTCATGAGCTATTAAATGTGGGGCTCAGCACTTGGGTGTGGCCCCCTTGATCTGGAAATAACTGAGATAGGGCCTTGCATGGATCTTGAGAGCCAGGGGCAGGGAATGCTGTTAAGGAAGCCGATAGCCGCTAATCATCATGAGATGATACTCCCTCTCTTTTGTGTGTGGCTTTGCTGTTTCCAAGATGTCTCCTCCCCGCCTCTTAGAACCTGGCCCAGGAACAAGCCCACAGAAGAGAGAATTGCCTGCTTGTTGGTCCCAGCCATGCTCTGGGGCTGGAGCTGGGAAATCATAGGCAAGGTTAGTCAGCCCTCACTCTGGTGGTGCATGTCCCTGTCATGACACGTGGATCTTTCAGTATATGCTCCCAGGTCCCTGGGGCTACTTAGACTGGGCCTGGGCCTCTTTATGTGTATATATTTTCCACTTGCAGACAAAGAAGGCATTACAAGCACATTCACCACTCCCTCAGCTCCCCACCCTCTGAAGAGCTGAGTTTACAGACAAAGACATCCGGACACTTCATTCTTCTTGTTTGAATGGGTCCTGAGACCATAGCCCTGTTCGCTCTCTGCTGTTCCTGGCACAGCCTAGTCACCCAGAACCTGCCCAATCCAGGACACTGGCACTCAACCAGCCACTCAGACGTACCTGCTGGGGCCTTGTTGCCTTGGGTTTGGATTGACTGCCTGGGTTTGAACCCTTGCTCTGCCACTTCTAACCCAGGCAGGTGCCTTCACCTCTCTGGGCCTCAGTGTCCTCACCTGTACCTGGAGAGATCATAGCATTGCCCTCCCAGGGTTGTAAAGCTACCCTAAGTTAAGGTAATTGTGCATGGCCAACCCTGAGAACCTGCGTGATAAATATGGACCATTGTTATTTATTTAGTGTCCTCATAGTGGATAAATCTGCTCCCCAGGGGCATTTGGAACTTTAAGTGATAAGGCCTTCAAAAGGACTAAGAATGGCCCCCTCTCATATGCCCATATGGTCCCCCCTATTGCGAAGGAGCTGGCCTCTTTGTTTGTCTCCCTGCCATTATAGGTCTGAGGGCTCTTGAGGGGGAAGCTCAGGTGAGGGATGAGGTCCTCAGGGTGTCTAGTCCTCACGCATGCTTCTCCCCTGCCTGTCCTCCAGACTGAGCCCTATATTAGGGGATTCTAGGTCTCCTGCCTGCCAGAATCTCCATTCTGAGCGCCCCAGCTCCCTTTCCTGGCCCAGAATGACATTCAGATAGTGTTTATCTTTGCAAATTTCCGGGCCCGGCAGGCACCTTCCCAAGCCTTACATGATCCAGATGGACTTGCTCCATCTGAAGAGTGCTGGCCCTCTGCCTGACGCTCGCTTCCCATTCCAGCCTTCGCACTGCCTCCTCCTGGGTTTTAGCAGAGCTTTGTGAGACCACCTGAACATCCACAAATAACTTGCCTTCTTTCTAGAACCCTGTGGAGGACTGGGGTCCACAGAGGAGGAGCCTGGAAAGTGGGCTTAGGCAAGAGGACCAGGCCTGCCACCTATGTGAGCAGAGAGACTGAGGCCAATGAGCTGGGCCAGGGGCTTCAGGTCAGTGCAGCCCTGGGCCAGGCTGTGGGTGAGAAGGGCCCAACCACCTGCCTTCAAGAGCCTTCCCTTCTCTTGGGCATGAAAGAGGGAAAAGGAAGAGAAATAATAAGGATGACTGACTCACACGAGCATTGTGCCAGGGTCTTGCCTCCAGTCTTTCATTTCATCTTTGCAGAGCCCCTTTAAATAGGGAAAATATCTAGGAATCATATGTAGGGATTCACAGGTCCAATTTACAGGTCCTCTTGGCTGTCCCTTTAAAGTATATCCAGAGCCTGATTGATTACTCCCCCCACTTACACTGCAACCCCCCCTCCTCCTCACCTTGGGACCCCCATCATAACTCTCCCAGACCCCAGCACTGGCCTCTCACTGCTCTCCCTGTAAGCCCTTGCATCTCTGCAATCAATTGTGAATCCAAACATGTCATTTCTCAGCTTAGAATCCTCTCCTGGCTTTTCCCATGCTGTGATCTTACGCAGCCAGAGAGGATTTTAAGTGTTTTAGTACAATAAGTGCTCACTGAGAGCTGACTCTTATTAATTTCATGTCTGCATCCACTTGACTGTGTAGCATGGAGCAGCAAGTCACTGGCTCTCTCTGGCCTTGTTTCCCCGTCTACAGATGGAGGAGCCATATGAGCTGGGCTTTGAGGGATGAGTAAGAGCTCACTAGGCTGAAAGGAAGAGAGAAAAGACATTCTGGGCAGAAGGAACATCCCATGCATCCTGAAAGCATGAGTATTTGGGAACAACAAGTCATTGGTTTGGCCAGAGCATAGGACATATGGGGCCAGGGAGAAGGATCAAGGCCTCAAATATTAGGCTAAGTTTGAGCTTTGTTCTCTTGAAGGGGAACCATAGAAGTACACAAGAAGGGGAGTGACGTGATTAGATCTGTTTTCTGGATGCTGCTCATGGAACAACACACTGGTGGGAGAGAGGCTGGGACATGTGTTAAGCACTAACTGTACACAGGGCCTCAGAGGGCTCAGCCGTCAGTGGGTCTGGGTTCCCTCGCAGTGAAACTTAGCTTATATGATTTTACATGGAAATAGCCACCAGCTTTGCAGCCATTAGCTCCAGAGTTTCCACTGAGAAAGGCTCCCTGTGACATTATTGAGGTATCACAGCTACAGAGCGGTGAGGATCTCTCAAAGGCTGGAGTCCAGGCCCCTTGAAGGAAATCCCAAACCCAGCCATGGTTTCCCTTCACTTCTCTTACTTGCACCAGATACGTGGGTCCCTGAGCTGTCTTTTCCTTCGGCAAATGATGCTGATGGGTGCTCAAGAGCTCCCTGGAATCAAGATAACGAGGCACCGTGGGAGGTGAGACTTTCACTTGGCCCTGGACGGGAAAAGACCTCGTTGATCACCCCTGTCCTGCTCATTTTACGAGAGGAGATTACACTAGAGAGCAGTGAGTGATGCTCCTATCCCTCAGAGTGGGGAGACTGACCCTGGCTCCTCCATGTCCCAGCTGCATGACCTCGAGACAGTCACCTCATCTCTCCAAACCTCAGAGATAGCATGATCCCAACACCTTAGAGCCTGGCTCGAGTGTTCAAAAGCTAAGACAGGGCCACTGTGCATGGCTTATTAGGTAGGACACTGGGGAACAGAGAGGTTAAGTGACTTGCCCGAGATTACATAAGCAGCTAGACATAGCAAAGTTCCCAGCCCTGACCTCAGACACTGGACGCCACCTCCAGTGTCTGTGTCCCCACCAACTGTAAGTCCAGGGCAAGTCCATGGTCACAGGTAACATCGTACCATGTGTATGTGACCCTACTCTCAGGTTATGCATGGGGTCTTCTCTTGGCCTGGATCCCCCATGCCCACCCCGTCTACAATGCTAAAGTGCCATTCTCAATGGGGGCCGGTGAGATGCCCCTTACCAGGTCCCCATGAAAGCCACCTGGGCCCCGGAGACAATCATTACATCCTAGCTTTATAATTTAAGTTGCTCTGTGATGGGGAAGCAGAACTGCTGCGCCTGGTCAACTTTGTCCTGCTCTGGGGTCACCTCTGTCCCGAGGGTCCTACTTCACCCCCAGCCCTGGAAGACAGGCAGGGCCAGATCTGGCCAAATGCCCTCCATCAGGCTGGAGCCATGCTTTCCTCCTCAGTTCCTCTAGAGCCCCCTGGGAGCTCAGCACGTATCATTAGACTTTATTAGAATCAAAGAAATGAGTCATATTTGCAAACAAGCCCCACTCAGCCAATCTTCCCCTGCAGCTGTCGGAAGGGGGAGGCGGGGGAGAAAGGCTTGTGCGGCCCATGCTCAGGGCGGACGGGCTCTTTTATAATTGTT